AGTGAACTGGCAAATTACAGACCCATTTCAAATCTTCCGGTTATGTCTAAAATTTTAGAAAACGTTGTGTCTGCTCAATTGTGCTCCTTCCTTAAAAAAATTATCTCTATGAAGAATTTCATAGCACAGAAACTGCACTTGTTAAAATTACAAATGACTTGCTTGGTTGCTACTGTGAGGAGCACGGAGCAAGGAACGAGGAGACCAAGAGTACAAAACAGAGGAGTTTAATTCTTTTTTCAGGGAATCACACGTAGCACAAGGAGTTGACAAACAATTCCAGAGAAGGAAGAACAGAAAGGGCAGGAACATATATTGATTACAAAACTATATGGGTATTCAAGGGCAGGCTTTAAGATGTTTTAGATCTTACCTGTCTGATTGCTATCACTTTGTTTATTTAAACAGGGAGTCATTTCAATTATCACCAGTAAAGTATGGAGTGTCACAAGGATCTGTCCTAGGTCCTCTGCTATTCTCAATGTACATGTTGCCCCTTAGTAATATTATTAGAAAATACGGGATTAGTTTCCACTGTTATGCTGATGATACTCAACTATATATCTCAACGAGACCAGATGAAACTTCTAAAATAAAAATGTAAAAGATTGGATGACCAATAATTTTCTCCAATTACATTTGGATAAGACAAAGATATTACTTATTGGACCAAAAAACAGTACACAGAATCTCTTGGATTACAATTTGCAACTAGACGGATGTACTGTTACTTCCTCTACAGTTCAAAATCTGGGTGTTATATTAGACAGCAACTTGTCTCTTGAAAATCATATTTCCCATGTTACAAAAACAGAATTCTTCCATCTTAGAAATATTGCCAAGCTACGACCCCAATTTTACAGTCTCTGCACTGGCTACCTATTAGATACCTATCAGTTACAAAATATTACTACTTACCTATTATTACTTGATGTCAGGAACCGCACGCCAGTGGTTTGAGTCTTACCTCTCAGATAGGTCCTTCAAGGTATCTTGGAAAGGTGAGGTGTCCAAGTCGCAACATCTAGCTACTGGGGTGCCTCAGGGCTCAGTACTTGGACCACTTCTCTTCTCTGTCTACATGCCCTTTCTTTCGGAACATGCTTCACAACTCCTTATTCAAGCTCTTGTTCTGTCCAGGCTGGACTGATGCAATGCTCTCTTGGCAGGTCTTCCAGCCACTTTTGTCAAACCTCTAAAATTAATCCAAAATGCCGCTGCAAGATTAATATTTAATGAGCCGAAAAGAATGCAGGTCACACATCTGTTCATTAATTTGCAGTGGCTACAAGTAGCTGCTTGCATAAAATTCATTATGTTTGCCTACAAAACCACCACTGGCCCTGCACCCCTTTACCTAAATTCATTACTTCAGAGTTATGTGCCCTCTAGAAGCTTGCGTTCTGCAAGTGAACCACCTGTCTGCCCCTCGTTATCTGCCCTATTTAGTTCTAGCCCGTTCTGTTCTCCCTTGTCTGGAATTGTTTGTCAACTCCTTGTGCTACGTGCGATTCCCTGAAAAAAAGAATTATACTCCTCTTTTTTGTACTCCTGGTCTCCTCGTTCCTCGCTCCGTGCTCCTCACAGTAGCAACCCGTGACAGAATTCCAGACCAAACAAAAAGTGAGCGGCGACTTTTCCTCGCGGTTGTTTTTTCCACCTTTTTGAGAAGATTTTTTGTTTTACTTGTTTTCCCCGCGGCTATGGAAATTGCCACTCGGTTCTCTGCCTTCGCTCGCCTAGATCTCCCCTTTGTCGAGTATTCCTGGGAGTTCTGCAGGCTCGCCTGAACCAGAACCAGCCCGCCGTCCGCAGCCTACTCTAGTTCACCGGCCATTAATATGGCAAGCCCACCATGCGTTCATGAGGCCCCAGTGTTAGCTCCAGCCCCAGAGCTCGCTCCAGTGTCTGCTCGAGTCCCAAATCTCACTCCAGTGCCAGCTCCTCGAAAGCGCTTTGCTGTGTCTGCTCCTCCAGAGCACCCTCCAGTGCCAGCACCACGTAAACGTTACCCTGATCCCCAGTTCAGCCCAGGAAGGGCTCCTGATCCCGAGTTAAGCCCAGGAAGGGCTCCTGTTCCCAAGTATAGCCCACGGAGGGCTCCTGATCCCGAGTCAAGCCCAGGGAGGGCTCCTGATCCCCAGTCAAGCCCAGGGAGGGCTCCTGATCCCCAGTCAAGCCCAGGGAGGGCTCCTGATCCCCAGTCAAGCCCAGGGAGGGCTCCTGATCCCCAGTCAAGCCCAGGGAGGGCTCCTGATCCCCAGTCAAGCCCAGGGAGGGCTCCTGATCCCCAGTCAAGCCCAGGGAGGGCTCCTGATCCCCAGTCAAGCCCAGGGAGGGCTCCTGATCCCCAGTCAAGCCCAGGGAGGGCTCCTGATCCCCAGTCAAGCCCAGGGAGGGCTCCTGATCCCCAGTCAAGCCCAGGGAGGGCTCCTGATCCCCAGTCAAGCCCAGGGAGGGCTCCTGATCCCCAGTCAAGCCCAGGGAGGGCTCCTGATCCCCAGTCAAGCCCAGGGAGGGCTCCTGATCCCCAGTCAAGCCCAGGGAGCTTTGGATAAAAGCGTCTGCTAAATGACTAAATGTAAATGTACTGTACCTATAAGGCCCTTAATGGGTCTCCTCCTGCATACCTAACTAGTCTTCTACCATGCTACAATCCATCACGCTACCTAAGGTCGCAAAACTCTGGACTTTTGGTAGTACCTAGGATAGCAAAGTCCACTAAAGGAGGTAGAGCTTTTTCGCATTTGGCTCCCAAACTCTGGAATAGCCTTCCTAATAACGTTCGGGGTTCAGACACACTCTCTCTGTTTAAATCTAGATTAAAGACAAATCTCTTTGGCCAAGCATTAAAATAATGCATCTCATAATCTTGTACTGCAGTTATATCTGATCAAATGCACATTATTATTCTTTAGCTTGGTTTAAACAAATCAATTTTGCTTGGTTGGAACAGCAGCTACACTAATTATGTCTCTATTTGTTTCTATGTTTTTGCCATGGGATTGACATTCTGTGGTAACTAGGATTTACACAAGCTTCAGTCTGGATCCAGAACACCTGAAAAGAGATGATGCCAACCCCTCAGAGGACCTCAGATGATGCCAACCCTGAAACAACATACAGAACTACCAAATTTTGCTATAAGTTTGATTGCAACATATAATAATTGCTGTTAATAGTGTTCATTGTGATGACCCTGAGTCTTATTCGGATCCTATTGGGCAAAGTGTGGCAGTTCCTAATTGGTCTTCTCTGTTAATTGTTAATTAGTAGCATATATAAGTGTGTAACCATCTGTGGGATGGTTTTTCCGGAGTGGCTCTGATTCAACATGTAAGATCTTGTTGATTCGCTAACACTTGTTACCCTTTGCATTTCTTATATTATGTAGTTAAAGTTTGTTGTCATATTTATTTCTTTGATTTTCTTTATTGGCCCTAGACTTATGCTTATTATTATTATTACTGACTGCTGTTGTATTAGTTTAATTCAATAAAACAATTTGCATTCATATCTTTTGTTGTTTGATCCCTCTTTTATGTTGCGGCTTTAAAATGAGCTGGTCGTAACATAAAATTGGGCGCTCGTCCTGGATTGCTACATGTATAAGTGAATGCATAGTGTTTCTGTGTGTTCATCTGTGTAAATGAGTAGACTTCAGGTAGTTAGTGTTCTCAGCTGGATTTATAATCCCTCCATCGAGGCACTGTTTGTTATTTTAGTTTATTTTTCCTTTCTTATTTTTGAAGGTTATTCTGTAAGGAGGTTTTAAATCTCTGTCGGGGGTACGCTTTGGTCTTTTGGTTTGAAATGCCAATTGTCTTCGAGTCAGCGGTTAAACGCCACCGAGTCCGGTACACCTTTGAAGATTAGGTAGGTTTAGTTAGTTTTGTTTGTAGTTAGGAACTGGAGTCTCTAATTTTTCATAAGGTGACACTTTGTTGTTTTTCTGTATATGTGTTGTTTGCGATGCCTACCGAGTTTCAATATAATTTGACAAATGATTTGTGGTAAGTCTTTATTTATCTTGTAATGGTGAGGTTTTCTATTTGGAGAGTGCTTGCTGTGACGATCCCTGGCGAAGTGACTGATGGGATTTGTAGTTTGAACGCTCTAGTTACACGGGTGTTCGCGGTGTTGTTTGTGTTTGCTCTGTCTCTTTTAACAGTCATGTCGTTGGTAGTCGAGGATTTCTTTGCATTTCCTTCAGAAGTATTATTGGAGAGGTGTACAAAAGCGCTCTTGCAGATTGCCGAACAATTTGATGTGGACGTAACAAGCAGTGATTAGAAGCTCAAGGAAACGCTGATGAAAGTTGTGAAGAGCACACTTTCCGAGTGAGGCATTTTAGAGGTAAGAGCTCAACTTATTAACCCTGAGGAGTCTGTATCCTCCCCTCTTTTTGATGTCGATCAAAATGCAAAGTTTAGCGAGATGTCGTTACAAGAGAAGCAGTTGTGTGTTGATGCAGAAAAACTTTTATGCTGAACGCGATGTTTGTGCTTTAAAAGAGAGTGTATAAATAAAGAAATTGCAACAACCGTTACAATTTGAAAAGGAGAGCTTCAGTTGTGGAAACTTGAGTTAGAGCTGAGTGAAACTTAGCACTTGAAACTCCTGTTCAAGTGTCCTTTGTAGGGATGGGCGTATCGATCCAAAGTATCGATATATCGATACTGACGCGAGTACCGAAAGTATCGATACTCAAACAAAAAATATCGATACTAAGGTGCGCTTTATTTACCAGTGGTTTTGTTTATTTAACAAAAATAATAACAATAATAATAATAATGCGTACAATATGCATTGAATTGGGCGAATAAGCTTTGTTAGCGACTAATTGTGTAGGATAGAACTATTTTCCTGCTCATCTGAACACACGCAAATGTGTATGTTCAATTTTGAAATACGTTGATGGTTGTATTTTTTTTGTATTTGATCTCAGTATTCCTATCAATGTTGTATAAGGGTTTTTTATGTATAATATTAACCCTAGAATGTGATCAAACAGTTTAAAATAGCTGGGCTAAGATATATAAAAATTATGACTGCAGAAATGTTAATTCAGTATACACATTATCCCACCGGTTACAATTTGACTGACCATAAATTACAATTTTTCTCACACTTCAAAAAAAAAAAAAAAAAAAAAATCTTCACTTTTCCCCCCCAAAAAATGTGATTATTTCAAAGGGTTACTAATGATGCATCATTTGGATATTTTCATGTCTGGGAAAGATTTTGGATTAAACGGGTTAAAATGCGTTTTAAACATAAAGTTAAGTGGGTTTCATTATAATTAATGTAATTTAAGTAATTTAATAATTACTAATTTAATAGAAATTACTAATTTAATACATTTCATAATTTAAAAGTTTAGTGCAGAAGTATCGAATCGATATCGACGATACTGCCTTGAAAAATATCGGTATCGTATCGAAAACAAAATAAGTTAGTCCCTAGTCCTTTGTTGAACCTGTGCTTGCTGCGCCTGTTTGATGTTTATAAAAACATTAGACTTGTGTTGCCATTTTTGGAGAAGGAAGTAGAGCAGTATTTCAAGCATTTTGAATGCGTTGCACAGTCATTGAAATGGCAAAAATAATTTTGGACCTTATTGCAATGTGTGTTGGTAGGAAGAGCACAGGAGGTATATTCCGCGCTGACTATTGAGCAAAGTGCTGACTATGAGATTGTAAAGTCTGCTATTTTGCATGCTTACGAATTGGCACCTGAGGCATATTGCCAGAAATTTAAGAATCATTCTAAGTCTGAGAAGTGCACTTATCTTGAGTTTGCTAGAGAGAAAGAAAATCTGTTTGATCGTTGGTGTTCCTCTGTAAAAAAATGACCACTAGGGAACAGCATAGAGAGCTCATTCTTTTAGAACAGTTTAAAAATTGTGTTCCAAGTGCTGTTGCTATGTATCTCAATGAACATAAGGTGACTAAATTGTCTGATGCTGCTCTTATGGCAGATGAATTTGTTCTCACCCATCAAAGTTCCATTCATTTAAAGGAGTTGAGCAGGTCAAAGTTGAGTGTTTCAGTTAAAAATAAAAAGATGGTTGCACGTCAGAATGTTGTCTCAACTTCTGCCGATAATGCTTCATTCACACGTACAAAAGGAGAAATGGTTTGCTTTTATTGTAGGAAGCCAGGACATAAAATTTCAGACTGTGCTGTTCTCAAAAAGAAAAGGCTGTTAAACCTGTTGGTTTAATTTCTACATCAAATGTGAATTTTAATCCTGACAAGCAGATTGAGTAGATGGATATCACTGAGATGGAGAATGTTAAAAACAGTGTTGACTTTGGGCCATTTCTAACTGATGGGAGTGTTTCTTTGCCTGACTGTGATGAAACTGTGCCTGTTTGTATCCTTGGAGATACTGGGGCAGGGCAGTCATTTTTGTTGGAAGGACTTTTGCCTTTGTCTGAACGCACTGCTACTGGATCTCGTGTGTTGGTCAGAGGGCTTGAAATGGGCTACATGGAAGTTCCTTTACACCACATCCACCTTAATTCCAAGCTTTTGTCAGGTGATGTAGTCGTAGGAGTTTGTGCTATGCTTCCTATCCCTGGTGTCACTTTCATACTTGGCAATGACTTAGCTAGAGGTAATGTTTGGGAGAAGCCAGATGGTGGAATTCCACCTATAGTAGCTCCCGTTGTAGAGGGATTGAATGGATCTTCTGACTGTCCTAACTTTCCGGCTTGTGCGATAACTCGAGCGATGGCCAAGAGAAGGATGTCAGATGAAATGGAAAATGTTCTTAGTGATACTTTTATTTAATCTAACTCTCAATCAGAACCTGATACTGTGTACACCATGGCTGAAGATGAGATTCCTGTGCATGAAATACCGTCTGTTGATGACCAGACTGACAAGTCTGCTTCCATGTTTGAAAGACCATTTATTTGTGATGACCATGTTAACATATGTTCTTTGTCTCCACTTTATAGTGTGACTCGAGATGAATTAATCAAAGCCCAGAACGCGGACGAAACTCTTCAAGATTTGTTCTCCTTTGCTGCTGGTAGAGGAGGAAATAAAACCGTGTCTTCCTTCTACTTTCTTCAAGCTGGATTGCTTTGACAGCAGCCTATGAGTTCTGACTCTTCACTTGATCCTAGGATCCAAATTGTAGTTCCTTTTTCGTCAAGCCGTCCTACATTTATCACACCAGGGCCTTGCTGGTCATATGGGGGTACGGAAGACGTATGATTGAATTGAGGAAATTTTATTGGCCTAGAATCAAGAGAGATGTGGTTAACGATATAAGATCTTGCCACATTTGTCAAATGACTGGAAAACCAAACCAAAAGATTCCATTGGCTCCTATACAGCCTATTGCTGTAGTTACTACTCCATTTGAACATTTGATCATCGATTGTGTTGGTCCTTTACCACGATCTAAGGCTGGGCATGCTTACTTGCTTACTGTAATGTGTCAGTCTACACGTTATCCTGCAGCTATCCGCTGAGATCGATTACAGCTAAATCAATTTTAAAGGCTTTAACGAGTTTCATGTCTGTTTTTGGCATTCCAAAAACTATTCAGTCTGATCAGGGCTCAAATTTTATGTCCCGACAATTCTCAAAACTCATGCAACAACTCAAGGTTAAACACAATATCTCAAGTGCTTACCACCCCCAGAGTCAAGGAGGGTTGGAAAGGTTCCATCAGACTCTTAAGTCACTTTTGAGATCATATTGTGTTGAACTTGATTGTGACTGGGAGGATGGACTTCATTGGATGCTGTTAGCTATTCGTAAAGTTGTGCAAGAGAGCACCGGTTTTAGTCCTAATGAGTTAGTATTCGGACATACTGTCAGCGACCCTATTGCTGTTTTGGCAGATGAATGGAAAACGTCTGATCCACCTGAGAATGTCTTAGACTACGTGAGTAGTTTTCGTTATCGACTCTATGAAGCCAGAGCTATTGCTCTACGAAAATTAGGTAAGTCTCAGAAAAAGATGCAGATGTTGTTTGATCGTAAGGTCCAGGCAAGAAGTTTTCAGGTAGGCGATCAAGTGCTCGCTTTGTTACCTGTTTTGAATAGTCCATTCCAAGCTAGGTTTACTGGACCTTATATGATAGCGAAGTGTTATCCTAATAACAACTATCTTTTAAACACGCCTGATCGTTGGAAGAAAGTACAGGTTTGTCATGTTAATTTCTTGAAACCATGTATGACTCCTGTATCGTCTCTGCCTGTTAATCTTGTGACTACTGACATCATAGATCTAGGAGTCCCAGAAACATCTGTAGAGATGGGTGATGATCTGGAGGAGATGAATGGTCCTTCTCGAGGTGTAGAGGAAGGGTGCCTTAACAACTCTGAGGTTCTTGCTAATTTAGCTTATCATTTGTGGGAACCAGAGGAGACTGATATAATTATGTTGGTAAGTTCTTTCCCCTCTATCTTTTCTGATGTTCCTACCCGAACTCATGTCATTGAGCATGACATTGATGTTGGTATGACTCAACCTGTAAAACAATATCCATATCGAGTAAACCCTGTATAAAGGAAGTTGCTTCAGAAAGAGGTGGATTATTTACTTATAATTTAGCAGAACCTAGTTTCAGTTCTTGGAGCTCTTCCTGCATTTTAGTGAGTAAACCTGATAATTCATATCGGTTTTGTACTGATTACAGGAAACTTAACTCTCTGACAAAACCTGATTGTTTTCCTCTACTCAGAATTGACGACTGTGTGGATTGTGTGGGTTCTGCATGGTTTGTCAGTAAATTCGACCTCCTGAAAGGTTATTGGCAAATGCCTTCAACCTCCCGTGCTAAATGACTATCTGCTTTTATTACACCTGTTATGCCTTACGGAGTTTGAAATGCTCCCGCTACATTTCATCATCTAGTAAATCGAGTGTTGTCTGGGTTGGCAGGATGTGAAGCTTATCTGGACGATGTTGTTCTGTACAGTTCTTCTTGGTCTGAACACCTCGCACAAATTGGAGAAATTTTAGAGCGTTTGGCTAAAGCGAACTTAACTTTAAATCTTGCCAAGTGTGAATTTGGCAAGGCTACAGTGACATACTTGGGTAAGGGGATTGGCGGAGGGTGCGTAAAACCTATCAACGCCAAAGTTGAAGCTGTCTGTAGTTTTCCCACTCCCACTACTCGACGTGAGTTATGACGTTTTCTCGGGATGGTGGGCTACTATAGAGGTTTTTGCCAGAACATTGCGAATATAGTTTCCCCTTCAACAGATTTATTGAGCCCGAAGAGACCTTTTGAATGGTCACAACAGTGTCAATGTACCTTTGATAACGCGAAGTCTCTTTTGGCCAATGCTCCTGTGTTGACGGCACCTAATTTTAAAAGACTTTTCTTACTTGCAGTTGATACTAGTGCTTACGGCACTGGCGTTGTTCTTTTGTAAGAAGACGCTAAGGGAATCGAACATCCGGTCAGTTATTTTACAAAAAAATTCAATCATCATCAGCAAGCGTATTCTACGGTGGAAAAAGAGGCTTTAGCCCTGGTCTTAGCCATTCAACATTTTGAGGTCTATTTAAGGTTCAGTCTGTGGTCCCATCGTTGTTTACACCGACCATAATCCACTGACTTCCTTGGATCTAATGCGTGGCAAGAATAATGAGGTGGAGCCTTATTTTACAGCCCTTCCACCTACAGATTAAACGCATTCGTGGCAAAGACAACCTAATTGCTGATGCTCTCTCACGGCTGTAGGATATCTCCGTAGTGTTGGGTATATCTTCTCTATCTCCTCTCTCTTTTCTTCAGTTTTGTTTTGTTGCTTTTGTTTTTTTCTCTTTTCTCTCTCCCTCTCCCTCTCTCTGTAGTTTTCTCTCTGATGTCCTAGGGCACAGGAGTATGGGAGTGAAATGGAGTGATTATTAATATTATTGTAAACTACAATGTTATTATATATTTAAATGGATGTTTTCCTTGTTTTGCTTTGTCGGTTCTTTAGATAACCTCCTTTTGGAGTGGGAGGTGTGACGACCCTGAGTCTTCTCTGGATCCTATTGGACAAAGTGTGGCAGTTCCTAATTGGTCTTCTGTTAATTGTTAATTAGTAGCATATATAAGTGTTATCTATTGGCTGAGATAGGCACTCTGTGGGATGGTTTCTCAGGAGTGGCTCTGGTTCAACATGTAAGATCTTGTTGATTCGCTAACACGTGTTCCCCTTTTTCTTATATTATGTAGTTAAAGTTTTGTTGTCATTTATTTCTTTGAATTTCTTTATCCCTAGACTTATGTTTATTATTACTGACTGCTGTTGTTTTAGTTTAATTCAATAAAACAATTTGCATTGATATCTTTTGTTTGTTGCGGCTTTAAAACGAGCTGGTCGTAACATCATCGTCTGTTTGATTACATCTTCAATTGATTTTTCCGTACATTTCTGCCATGTGTACATTAACTGACAGTCACCACTGATAAGCTACTACTAAATATATTGTAGAAACTTAATTTTCTGTAAAGCTGCTTTGCAGCGATTTGTATCGTGAAAAGCGCTATACAAATAAACTTAAATTTGAATAACTTCTGGTAGGGGATTAAGTAGCAATAATAGGGTCATGGTTTGTCTCGCCAATATGTACATAATCAGCCTCACAATTCTGAAATAAATAGTATCTGCACCATAAACAAACTTAAATGAAATGTACATGGTTTCCAATGTGTGCATGTTATTACATACATCATCATCAGTTGAATGCATGCCATCGCAGGACTTGACACTCAAGACAAGCTCTGCTGTGACCGCTCAATAAACAAAAACACAAGAGACTGCTTGAAAAATGTCCAAAAACTATATTTTTATAATCTATTTATTTACGTCATGTCCCATCAGTCAAAACCTTATTTTATGATTTACATTGAGTTTATTAATCAAATCTCTAAATGCTCTATGGTGTCCATGTGAATAAGGATTGTTTAAATAAACATAATTTATCAATATTAAATCATAACACACTACAGCACTAAACAGCAGCTGCTGGCTTACATTGGTCACATTAACGGGTGTCTAAACAACTTCTTAAACTTCGGTAAACATGCAATTGACAGGCTCAAATCTGATTGGCTAAAGAGTACGAGTGACCCACATGGGAGAAGTTAGCTGCCAGGAAAGTCTCAAAAATACACACACAAATCCAAGGCGATTCACATTCACAGTCCATGATAAACTCGTGAATTTTAAACATTCTAAATTTTTGTACACAGTTGTACATCTTTGAATTTGTTTTGGTGACAGACGGTTCCACAGCACAAACAGAATGAGAGTGACAAGACAAGACACAGATGAATAAAAGAAAAAAAAATAGGATAAATAGGAAATAATTAAAAAAAGATGAAGAAAAAAAAACATAATATAGAATGTAGACAATAGATGGTATTTGTGTGTACAGGTATGTTATGTACAAATGCAAGGAAGTGTAAATATTTATGTGTGTTAAATAAACTTAAAAATAGTGTTGTGTATTACACATTTATTGCCAAGTTAACTGTTCTTGAGATGGATTGCCTGAGGGAAGGAACTGTTCTTCAGTCTGGCCGTTCTGGTGCGCCGACCAGATGGCAACATTTCAAAGAGTAAGTGGGCTGGGTGTGAGGGATCCAGAATTATTTTATCAGCCCCTTTACTCTGTCTGGATAAGTGCAGTTCTTGTAAAGTGGGGAGGGTTGTGCCAGTGATTCGCTCAGCAGTCCGGATTATCCGCTGAAATCTTCTAAGGTCTGATTTAGTAGCTGAGCTGAACCAGACAGTTATAGAAGTGCAGAGAACGGATTCAATGATGGCTGAGTAGAACTGTGTGAGCAGCTCCTGTGGCAGGTTGAACTTCCTCAGCTGGCAAAGGAAGTACTGTACATCCTCTGCTGGGCCTTCTTGACAATGGAGTCTATGTGGAACTCCCATTTCAGGTCATGAGAGATGGTGGTGCCCAGGAATCTGAAGGACTCCACTGTTGTTACAGTGCTTTTCATGATGGTGATTGGGGAGAGTACTGTTTTTTTTTTCCAAAGTCCACTATCATCTCTACAGTTTTGAGTGTGTTCAGCCCCAGGTTGTTATAACTCCACCAGACAGCCATCTCTTTAACCTCCTTTCTGTAAGCAGGGGGGCACCAGTGCTGATCATACGGGTGCAAGATGAGAATTTTCCCAGCTTTACTAGCTGCTGTCTGTCTGTCAGGAAGCTGGTGGTCCAATGACAGATGGAGGTGGGCACAGAGAGCAGAGTTAATTTGGACAGGGGGAGGTTTGGGATGAAGTGTTGAAGTCCACAAACAGGATCCTCACATACGTCCCTGGTCTGTCCAGATGTTGTAGGATATAATGCAGTCTCATGTTGACTGCATAATTCACAGACCTGCTTGTTCGGTAAACAAACTGCATGGGGTCCAACAAGGGTCCAGTGTTGTTGGCCTGTTTATACAAGACTCTGTCCCCATTCCTGTAGGCATCTTCTTTGGCCTGATAAAGCTATCTGAGTTTTGCAGTGAACCACGGTTTGTCACTGTTGTAAGTTAAATGAGTCCTGGTAGGGATGCACATATCCTCACATAAACTGATATATGATGTTACAGAATATATGACCTTGTCCAGATTGGTGGCTGCAACTTCAAAAACACGCCAATCAGTGCAGTCGAAGCAGGCTTGTAAATCCCGCTCTGCTTCATTAGTCCATCTTTTTACAGTCCTTATTACAGGTTTAGCTGATTAAACAGGGTTTGTAGGTCTTAAAAGGTCTTTAAAAGATATTTCCACAAAAAACCTTAAAAACCTTAAAAACCTATTTAATCAGAGAAGAAAGTCTTAAATTCATAAAGGCATAGCATTAAATGTTGCATGCACTTAAAAAAAAAAACAAATCAGATTTTTTATAATAATTTATCTTACAGAGTGTTTTTGTCTTGTTTTTCAGTACAAAATCTAAACATCCTTAAATCAAGATACGTTTACTTGAAATGCAAAATGACAATAGTTGAAGTCTTGTTTTCTGAGAAAGTGAACAAAATTAAATGAGTTTATACTTGAAACAAAAACAAATAGCTGTCAGTGAGCTATGAAAACATGTTTTCCTTTTGAATTAAGTTGATTTTTCTAATCCCGGATATTTGTTATATATGTCATTTTGCTATAAACTTTATTTGCACTGGAAAACAAGAATACTGAAGAAGAACAGTACTTTTTTTGCAGTGTGATCAGAAGGCAGTAGAAGTTATTTACATAGTCTAGCTTTTTTGTCAAATGAATTAAAACAATGGAGATCCGTTTGAATTTGTGTTTTCAAACTGTTGCTAATGCAATTCATTTTCTGCTCTCTAGACATTTATATGTAGAGAACACATTAACATATTGTGTTCCCTTCAATTGGTCCTTAAATTTGATTTACTCCTAAAAACGTTACAGATATTGACATTCATAAAATCTGCAGAAACCCTGAATAAACTATTTTAAATCATATATGAAGCCCACATGAGTATTGCCTCCTTAGTTGGTTAATACTTAAAACACACAAAAACAACATACTGCTTTGCATAAACTTTTATTGCTTCAAAATCAAAGCAGACAAAGCATGTCGAAAAGTCATGAACCCAATTTCAACACATTTTTATTTAAGGACAATGGATTTGATTTTTCAGCATATTTTAAGAAAGATCCACATGCATGCATAAAGTTGTGGATGTGTGCACAAGCTGCAGTGAAGCTTTTGTAAGCCCTGCTCTACATCACGCGTCTGATCTTCATGGTGACGGTCTTCAGAGATTTATAGCTGCTCTTCCAGTAGTACCAGAAGGGCCCACTCATCAAACTGCCATCATCTTTCCCCCACCAATACAGACCAGTAGGGTTTGTATAATCACAATTGTTGTACCAAAACCCTCCTTGAGAGTATTTTTTAGCACAGTTCTTTCCTGAATTATCTTTGTCAAAGGTGGAGAACTTCATTCCATTATGATAACCAAAAGTCTGAGCTGCAGAAAGGAGAAACTTTTATTATAGGCACTTTCATTCGGACGTCTAAAATGACTTTTTTTTTAAATAACCTTTAAAAAAAATCATTGTTTTATGCATGGTCTAACACATTCTATTCCTCCTTTATCATTAGGGTCACACAATTGAAAACTGGAAAATTAAACATCTGTAGTTTGTTTCACCTGCTCCTCCATCTACAAAGCCGGTCACATGCAGTTTGTACCCATCAGCCTCAGAGTCCACAGAGAAAGACTCGTACAGAGAATAAGCCTTCTTCCCCTCAAAGTCCTCCAAATCTATTCTAAGTTTATACTGATACCTGCTGGTCAGCTGGTGCATAAACTCTAAACCTGTTGAAAACATGAAAGGAAACTGGTTTAGTAAATCAAAGAACAAATATAAATCTGCATTTATACTGCAGTCCTGATTAAATGTTCAAGTTTTCAATGTGCCTGATTGTTTATTAATTTCTCTCTTTTGTAGCCCAAAACGTCACAAAAACACTCACCCAGCCAGTATTCGCCTTCTTTATTACCAAAACCCTTTTTATAACTCTCCCATGGCCTAAAGAAATTCACCTCACCGTCCATTCGCCTGAGAATCACCTGAAACATTCAGAAATCATTCATCGCTTTCACACACAATGATCATTTCACATTATCCATCTATTTAAATTTTTACGACATTAAAATACTTTTTATTTGGAAATATAACAGGCTTTCTTTAGCAACAAATGTATATCATGTTGTGTGATTTCACTAGCGTCACCAAACAAAGTTGCAAAAATAAACATTTCATACTCAGATAGAAGTAGAGCACAAATTAAAACACTGAGTGACAGTTTGTATAATATTTAATAATAATATATGTTACTATAATATAGGCAAATGTTATCAACCAATGGTACCATACCATGCAAACGGTATCAATCACGACAAGGAAACTGGATTTTTTTTTACATTCTTAGAATATAAAATATAAATATTAAAATATCATTATGTTTTGGGTGAAAAAGTTGGTAGAACATAGTAAGAAATGTTTTTGTAGCCTTTAAATAACATAATCATGACAAGAAAACTGGACATTTCAACATTTTAGAAACACTTCAAAACAATGTTCCCACAATGTTTTTATAAACTACATTTGTTAGCTGCATGTGAATCACGCTCAGATACACCTGCTAATAAAATAAGTTCTGAAGATAATAATCTCAAAGTGAAATGCGTACCGTCCAGTGTCCTCTGTCATTTATTCCGCTGGGGACCATCTCACAGTAGACCTGCACTGGTCCATCTAATGAGGTGATGGAGTACACACCACTGGTATTTTTCCCACTTGAATAAATGTCAGAGCAGTCTCTAGCAAGAAAACAATCTGATTTGACCTCATCAGTGCCCATCAAGACGGGAAACAGCGCAGACAAACACAGCAACACCTGTGAGACACAAACTCAAGATCTGAGTCTGATGATCGACATCTGACAAAATCACACTCACATTCTCACATACAGAAACTCACAATCATGTTTGTGATCATCGCTTCAGATGTCCAGCTCAGAGGATCAGGATTTGTACCTGAAATACAGAAGAAAAAAAATCACTTCGTTAGAACATGAACATGCATTCTGTCATTTACTGAAATAACAAACATAATTTTCAAAATGACCAGAATCAAACTCACCGTATGCGCTCAGAAACTTGTGAATGTTCAGGCGACGAATGTGTCTTTAAATATCTTTCTGATTGTCAGGACCCTCCTCTTTATCTGACATTTGCAAAAAAAAATTAAAATCTTGATTGGACAGTCAGAGGTTCGATGCCATAAAAGGACAAGATTCTGTTAATTTCATTTTTTTAGAGCAACATGCTTTATCATCTTCAGAGGAATTAAAAGAGACATCTGAAAAGTGTTGATAAAGTGATAATCTGCAACCGATTGCAACAGACAGCTTAAGAAAAACAGTTCAGAAAACCCTTTTCTTAGTTTAAGGGGTTTGATACAACCAGGTCCTGATGCCTTGGTTGACATGCAAATATTCAAACATCTTTAACATGATGTTGATGACTAAATAGGGTGACCATACAATTTTTGTGTCCAGTCCTGCCCGATCCTTCAAACTTTCTTATATTGCATATAATTTTCGTGCATCAGGGAGATGCTATCAATATGTGAAGTATTTAAATCTCTTTTGAATGAGCGCTCGCCATTCACTTTCGATTTCGGAATCACGCGTGCTCTGTGTAAAGGAAGCACATCTTACGAGATAAGATATTTGTCAGCGCTCAGGATCTGTTGAGCGGCAAATTTCACAGCATGGTCTTGTCCGTGATCTCTCATCTCAACCCATGATCAGTGAAATCTGACTCCTGCAATTTGTGTTGGATACAGAGTTGTGCATTTTTTTTTTTTTTCATGGAATTGGGCTACTGTTGCAATGGGTTGATTTCCCCCCCGTGGGATAAAGGTTTGAAATACTGTATAAGCTACATCTGACTGAAATACTTGTATTGAAACCTTTTGCATTCTACCTAAAACTGTGGTAGATGTTAAGTTTTGTGAAGGAGGGCCACTGGTAGAAAGCCTTTTAGCCGTGTTTATGATCAATGTGCATAACAGTGACTGTCATGTAAAATATGTATTTTAGTTATGGAAATCACATTTTGAGTTTAATATTTTGGATCAGGTCATTGCACTACTTTGGGCTGTTTTTGGCTGGCATGGGCTAATTTTGTCACTCAGACCTGGCAAACCTGGCTGTATGGAACAGAGCAGACCCTTTCAGTTTAGAATTGTAGCATACGTTAACTAAATACATATATATATAACTGCATATAACATATAACTGAACTAAACGATTTTTATTTCTATAAAAAGCTAAACGACAGGGGGGTGCCCCTGTAGGCAAGTAATGTTATCGGTGTGCAAAGTATTATCCAGATTATTATCCCGATCCACTCTGTGAAGGCGCGCATTTCTCATTCAAATACACCTCACCAGAAACACGGTGTGTCGCAATCTGTGACGAAGCAGGCGAGAGCCAATGAGCGTTCGATTATCCTCCTGTACATCCTGTCATTTCTTGAAGCAGCAACATTTGAATTTAACAAGCACGTAGTGTTGCCAAATTGGGCGGTTTTGAATTTGATTGTGCGGGTAAAAAAAATGGTTTGGGCGTGTGGACAAAATTTGGGCTGGTTTGCGGTCGGTTTGGTGGTTTTCAAACATCTAAACTGTATAGGCCTATTGGTTAAAAATCAAAACACACACTGCGGAGTCGGCTGGTGCTGATGTTGACATTGCGTCCGCTCTTTTAGCCAATCAGGGATCAGCAGACATACGTGATGTTTCATGAGTGATGGGTTTTTAGCGCGATAAGGGATCACATTTTGACCGTATAGCTGTATATTCAAACTATCACAATGCCAGAGTGGCCTAAATATAAGTTACACGGTAAAGAGTGGGAGAGTGACTCAAAACGTGATTATACCTGTGGAGGGAGATGACGCGAAGGCTCTTGATATCAATGTAACTTTGAAATCAGAGCACAGTTAAATAATTTAATCAAAATCGAAACTGAATATGGTACTATACAATCCTAGCCTACATCAGAAACTGGTGGACTTGATGAATAGACTGTGCAAAGTTCTGTATTATGTTCTACAGTGTACTTCACTAAAGACGTACTGTAGTTCTGTCTGAAGTTAAAGTGCAACACGAAGGTAAGCGCATTATTGTTGTTAATATTTTTGTTATCGGATTATCGTACAGTATCAATGAATGACACCGTTTTGACTGTCATGTTGTGTGCATGAACGAGTGTGAAATACCTGCTAATTATGTTGCTTTTTCCGATCACTTATACTGGGCACTTTTTCCATTTAAATTGGCTTATTCAGACTGTTAACAGAAAATGTTGCATGTGTTTTTCAGAGGGCATCGGTTAATTTCTTGATTGCCGTTTTGAGATAGGCTGGTGTTTACCTGGACATTTATATTTGGTAATTCTCTTTAATATATTTGACCTGGGAGATGTATGTTTTTTTATATTATTCTGGCATCTTTATTTTGTTTTAAGGAGTTAAAAATGGCCCTTATCAACCTTGATTGACATGGCAATAAAATTCTATCACATTATTTTGACAGTTAAAGTTTTGGGCGTTTTTTTGTTGGATTAGGAGGGTTTTGGTGAGCTTTTGGGCTGGAAATCGTCCACCCGATCTGGCAACACTGCAAGCGCGTCAGCACGGGTTTTGTTTGCTGCTTACAGTCGCTGGACTCGCTGTTCAGGATGGAGAGGAAGATTGCTGAATAAAGGCTTGAGTTTTGGTCTATTCCTCACAGTCGTATGGATTCTGAAGATTTGCATTACAGCGTACAAATAAAATTGATTCCTTTTGTAATTATGTTGAGTTTTTGATGTATTTTATGGTTCTATTGTCAGTCGCAGCATGTCAGAGAAAACATGGCAAACAAAGTAAATATTACATTATAAGTAATGGTTAAACGATTGCAGAAATGTTATTAATTTTAAGGGTTTAAAGTTTAGTCTTGTTTAACATTATGTAGGCCTATTCTTGGAAACGAGCTGGCAGCAGAAATCACAGAACAAAACAAAATGTTATCATTTCATATTACGTAAACGAGTAAATTTAATAATGCAATTGAAAACATAAGGCCATTGATATGACAACTAAAAACAACAATAATAAAAAAATTAATGCCACGTTTTCAATATTCATAAGGATTCATTTTTAGGTGTCGTCAATACGTCAGTATTGTATGTTTAAAAGCTGAAAAATACTTAAATATTTATACTTTTAGAAGCTGTAAATACGTCAGTATTGTACATTTTAGTGTCTGTAAAAACGTAAGTAAATGTACGTTTTGTAGAACCACATTAAAGTAGGGCTGGACCAGAATATTCGATTATTTGAATATCCGTTTGGTGGGTTGGCATTCGATTTTCAATTTTGAGATTTTAATATTCTTTTTTTTTTTTCGAACACCTGGCATCCCCCGTGAAACGGTTCTCATTCGCGCTTGAATATGAATCGCCAATGAGTGAACGTCATGATTCAGTTTATCTGGAAGAGAAGACAAAAATGCCGAAGACCTCAGCTGTGTGGGAGCACTTTAAATTGAGTGAGGAGAAGACAAAGGCAGTGTGCCAAATATGCGATTTGAAACTGGCCTACCACAACAGCACATCAAGTTTGAAAAATCAAGTTAGAAAATGTTAGGCTACCTTATTAAAAGTAATGCTTTTAACAGACCTGTGTGTTTTGTATCACTAGTGCAGTGTCCGTTCTTGGAGCATATAATCCCTACCTGCATGAGGCGCGCCGCTTATGGCTTGCGCTGTTCTGTAGTTTATTGGAAGTTTATTAATTCTGAACATGTCGCATGTCCATATTGCACCAAAATGCGACACTGCACTCCCTTGGGTCTGCAGCAACATACCCACCATGTGTGAAGTCGATTGGATAAACGGTTCTCGACATAATAAAAATGCAAACAGACAGACAGACACACAGAGATTCCTGCCTTTATTAGAGAGAATATGTTCAGCCCCCTCCCTCCGAAGCTTCGGTAGTAATCAACACCTCAAAAAATGGTATTCGGACCAGCCTTAGTTTAAAGGATTAGTTCACCCAAACATATAAATTCAGTCATTATTTATTTGTGTCAACGCTGTTCAATCATTGTTTTTTGTTTTCTGAACGCAAAAGGTGATTTTGTTCAAGTTTGTCCTGCTGGTTTCTGTTCATACAATATCAGTCAATGGAGCCTGACTTTCAGAAGCTTCATGACATTATTTGATGATGCTTTTGAAGCTTCTGAAACTCGGGTTTCATTGACTGATGTTGTATGAACAGAAACCAGCAGAACAAACTTGACCAAAATCACATCCTCAGTGTCTTTAAGTCTTTTTCTAGATGTTCTCGCTGGCTCTGGGCTCACTGATGATGAAGATACCACAGCAACATCCGGCCCAGACGAGACAGTAAGGTCAGGTGGAGTGATGGAGCGTCTCATGGCACTGGACCATTTCGTAATAATCGTCTTTAAGATGTATATTGTTTATGTAAATCCACTTTGGAGACGTACGTGTGCTTACTGGAGCTCCCCTGTTTGCTATACATAATAAAACGTCTTTACAGAAAAATCACAAATATACTATACTATTTAGCGTCTTTACACCTTCAGCAATTCAACAGTTTGCTCTACAGTAGCTCAACAAATATGATTTTAACACAAGGAGCCGTGTTTATGATTTCTAATACTCACATTTGTAAACACCCTCGTCGCTGTTCTCTATCACGTTCGATGATGACGTATCCTCTTGCGTGGCCTCTGGGATAGAAAAGTGTGAATCGATGAGCACCTCAGAATCTGGGCTGAAGCAATAGGACATCCGGGGATTTCTCGCCTACTCTTTTATGAATACTGAGGTTTCGAACATACTTCTTTCTTCACATACTCTTCTCTCCTACTATATAGTAGGTAAGTAGGCATATTTGAATGCAACTTAAGTATATGTACATCAGAATCTCGCGAGAATTAGTGATCCAGCTAGGTAATTCTTACCTATTCTTTTATGAATATTTATGATTCAAACATACTTATTCGCTCGCCTACTGCTTTTTGCCTACAATGTAGTAGGGAAGTATGCGGTTTCAAACGCAACATCTGTCTTTGTCAAAGGTGGA